TTCATCAAATACAACATGCCTCAAAATGATGATCTAATTGGTTGGTGGGTTCAAAACATTTTGTACCCTTTGTGTATGTAGTGTAACACTCAAGGATGGAATTTATGAGGTTAAGTTGATTGTTTCAATGGATAACAAGTGTAGTCGTTAACTTTTAGGTGATTATTTGTGTCAAGTGCTTTGGATTTGTAGTTAAGGGAGGGTAATCTATTAACCAGATTGGTGGGTCAGTGAGTAGAGATTCCAACCAAAAATTGATACGAAAATTTATCTTTGATTAGCAAGGTTCTTGTCATCCCAACTAAGTGCCTATGTTTGCTCTTAGTTACCCTATTTTGTTTAGGGGTGTAAGGACATCTAACTTGGTATTGTATTCCATGAGAAGCAGGGTATTGTTTGAGTATATCAGAGAAGTATTCACCTCCTCCATCGGATCATTGAACTTTTGTCTTTTTACTTAAATGATTGAAGAGATTTTTATGGAAGATGATGAAGGTTTGAATAGTTTTAGACTTGAAATGACCAACTAAACTTGATGTGCCCATATATAAATAAAATATAGTACTTTTTACTAGTTTTGATGGTATATGAAAAAGACCCCAAACATATGTATGTATTAATTCATGAGATGTGTACATTATTTTACTGCAAATGAAAAATAACATGCAACTTTTATTCATACTACAATCACTACATAGAGGATCATAGGCTGATTTTTAAGAGTTGGACTGTCTTTAAAAACGAGAGTACTATTTTTAGGATGAGGATGGCCCAATTTATAATGCCATAGGAAAGATGTAATGATGGCACCAAGTGTTGTTGTGGTAGGGGAGATGAGAACGTGGTATAGTCCTTTTTTAGCTAGATGTCAGCTAGATGTTGTAGGTGAACTTGGTGGTTTGATCTTGGATAGAGAAACCATATTTGTCAAATGTTATGGTAGAATTGTTGTCTTTGATTAATTGATAGAATGATAAAAGGTTATGAGATAGAAGGTTATACTTGGTCTTGCATTGCATATGCCACTATTTGTCACATATATTACCTGATCTAAGATCACACATGTCATTGCTAACTATGGATACTACTTTGTCTTAGATCAAACATGCCACTATTAACTATAGATACCATCTGATCTTATATCATACATGCCACTTTTAATCACATATTCTACCTGGTCTTAAAGATTGTATAATACAATTGATGATCCTGAATGGTACATTCTTTGATAAATTGATTTCTTTGAGCTCTAATTCAAATTTATTATTTTTTACCAAATTTTGTTTTAGTTTTTATAATTATCTTTTTTAATTGCTAAATAATATTTCTTTGTCTAAATATTCTGACTACATGATATAATAGATGGGTAAACAAAAGGTAGGTGTGATATAAGCCATTTGGGATCGGGAGACAAAAAGCATAATCTTTGATGTATGTTATAAAAATTAATAATAAACAAAACACACACTTCATCAAGGAAGGTTGACAAAAAAATACCAAAACATTCATGAAAACCAAGACGATTGTATGACAAAAATTAATTGAAGAGCAAATAAGATCAACTGAACAAAGATTAAAAATCATGGAAGGCTTTGAAGAGAGAGGTTACAGGATTAGGTCAGAGCCATGTTAAGAAAACAATGGATACATCAAAGGAGGGTGAAGAGAAAAAAATCCGGTAAGAAGAAAATGTTCTATTGAACTGTAATTTTATTGAACATGCTATTTTATCAATCATAGGTCCTACCCAATGGTAACAAAAATTTAGAATTTCTGCATAGCCCCTAGGTTGGAGGAGAACTTTATACTCTGTTTCTCGATATTGTGTCTATGAACGCCAATGTCTAAGCTACAACATAACCCCACCTGGAATTTGGATGAGCCTGAATATGTTTATTTTAAGGAAGTTCTAGAGAAAGCAACATAGAAAAGAGAATAAATGAATCAAGTCATTCATATCTCCCTACACCCTACACCTAGAAAGGTAAAAAGAAAATGAAGATCGATCAACACATTTATGTGAGCAGATATAATAGCTTGTTCTGACTTGCACTTGTATCACATTCAATGCTCACACAACTCTGCAGGGATACCCAATTATGATAGATGTTATGAAGTTACTTGATTCTACTGTCAAGATATGTGGTGACATCCTGCTATATTTATTTGTCATAAAACTTCTAGAGGATTAAAATAAGCGGAAGGCTTTCTTCAAGTTGGTGCCAGAAGGGAAGATTCCTTAGCTCTGATATTTTTAGACAATTAGTCCAGTAAGTTTGTCTTTTATTATTATTATTTTGAATTGTAGTTTGTAATAATTTATATTTTTATGCTGAACAATATCATGTCTCATGTTTATGTGATTTAAGTATTTATGGTTTGCACTAGTTGTAGTATTTTAGTTATGAGTCATTTCAGATTTTATGTTAAATTCAGGCATAACTCTTTTTTTATATATTCTAACATCCATACAATGGCCAGATGGACCCATCAGATGAAGAGGAAATTATGGAGATAGTTGAATTAGCAATAATTCTGATCACAACAGTGTCTTATTAATAAGTACTATCAGATAAAGTTTTGCAAGAAATTTTGTGTGCCATCGTCATTTATGGGTAGTAATTGGGTTGGCTAGCTGCTCGAAGCACAACCAAGCATAATTCATAGTATGGTTTAGATATATAGAATAATTTTTTTTTGTAATTTGTTGGATGAATTGAAGAGTAATTATGGTTTGTATGGATCGTCCCACCTTACAAGTTCTAACCATTACACCATATATTATGTCACACAATGAGTCCATTCGTGTTGTTTCCGAGTGATTCTAATACTCCATAGAGACGATTAATAGATATTTTGATATTGGGGTTAACTCTTTGATAAAATCTTCAACCAACATTATAAAACACATAATTTTTGCTTTTGTGCAAACACCAAGTGAAATTCATAGCAAAGCGAGATACATACAATTCTTCAATGTATTGATATTTCTATTTATTTTGACATTAGTATTTTACAAAAAAAATAATGGTCTAATGAATTTTTTAAATATGATTGTATAAAACAATTGATGACACACATGTCGATGCACGTGTTGATAATGATGAGAAGATTACACACATCATATGGCGTGGAGGTTCTCCAGTAAATATCTTAGCTGTTTGTAGTTTCAATATATGTTTTATATTCATGATGACTGAATGGAAAGAGAGTGCTCATGATAGCCAAATATTTAAATTTGTAACCTGACGACATGAATACAAATTTCCAATGCCTCCACTAGCTTAGTACATTCAAGATTATATTAAGTACGTAATTTGAGGATATGTAGTATTGGTGTTATTATTTAGGAAAATGTTGCCTCATTGATTTGATATATCGACTATAACGAGGTTTCTTAAAGCCCTTCCCCGACACGAGGCACCGCCTTCTTGATTTTAAGCACAACAATCAACTGATTAGAGTGTAGAATGAATTGTTTAATAAAAGACACACGTCATTATAAAGTGCTATTGAGAGGACATTTCATGCCTAGAAGAAGAAACGAGTCATACTCCAAATGCCCACATATTTCTTCAAAAAATAGGTAAAAATAATTATTGCAACGACAACACTGTATAACTTCATACGGAGGTATCTTTCTTGTGACGATATTGATTTCAGGGTCTTAGATTCAGATCCAAAGTACATACCTATGGAGTATTCGAACATCATACCAATCAATCAATGCTTGATGAAAACTTTAGTACAAAAAACTTCAACACATCCAAAGGGAAGGGTGTTCAAAAGATGACAATTAAGAGAAGATATTACAGATGCTTTGATGAACTCATCAAGTGTATTTATATGGTGTTCTATAGTGTCTTGTAAATGTTTACTATTTCATATGTATTGAAGATTTGTATATGCTTGCTTTATATATTTATGTAGCATTTTATATTAAAGATTAGTTGATGTCTATATATATATATATATTACTATGAAACCAAATTTTTTTATTGCTCTATTGCATATTTAGTCTATTTTGCAATTAAGGATATACATATTATAATCACAAGAAAAATTAGTTCAATATCATCAAGTACTTCGAGAGCTATGTACTGTCATTGTGGCATGTAGTGTTTTAAATACACATTAAGAAGAGAAGACAACTACGAGATGAGATTTATTGTTGTTCCATAAATAGAACACTTGAAGTTTGTTGGTATGTTTGTTGGACTGATATTTAGTCTATGATATGCATATTATAATCACAAGAAAAATTAGTTCGAGACCATCAAGTACTTCGAGAGCTATGTATTGTCATTGTGGTATGTAGTGTTTTAAATACACATTAAAAAGAGAAGACAACTACGAGATGAGATTTTATTGTTGTTCCATAAATAGGACACTTGAAGTTTGTTGGTATGTTTGTTGGACTGATGATAAAAACGAGTTCGCCTCTGATAGTAATCAAGTGAGGAGAGATGTTGCTATGGACAAAATATTATTTTGTAGACTTGATCATTTGGACTTGAAAACATCATTAGAGGCTTAATGGGCATTTCCGTTGTTTTTTTTTTATTGTCGTCTTATGCATGACAATTGATGTATAAGAGAACTTTAGACTTCTAAAATGTTTTCTATATTGTTAGACATATTTTTATTATTTTACCGCATTTATTTTGAAATTTGTATTTATTTCGATAAAATACATATATAAGGGTATAATAATTTTTTTCTTCAGGAACAATTTTAACATAGCATATTATTCAAACAGTCAAAATTTATGTTAATTAGAAGGATGAATAAAAAAGGGGGAAATTTCTCCTTTCATAACCACCGGTAGTTTGAGCTTCGTGCATTTCAATCAACCTTATTAGTTATGAGATTTGATTGACGGTCAGGATTCATGAAGTACAAAATACCGTGTTTCTCGCCCACGAGAGGATGTCGGTTCCCCTTCGAGCGGCCCGGCAAGTACCCGCGCATAGCCGCTAGTCGCGCGAGGCATTCCAATGTTAGTCTGTGGTCGGTGCAGGGCGGTCCGAGCTTCGCTTGTTGCGACTCCGTTCTTTCTGTTCTCTCTCTTTTATGCTATATATATATGTACAGACTTCAATTTGCGAATGAAAAAAAAAGAAAAAAAAAAGGGATCTGCACAGAGAAAGTGAAAAAGGGTGATAGCTGACAGAAGGGAGAGAAAGAAAGGAAACGGAAAAGGTGGTATATCATTCACTTTAAGTATATCTTTTGCCACCTTCAGGCTGTTCGTCTGCCCAACTCAGATCCAATTTCCTCTCGTTTCTGGCCGTTCTGGCGGATCTTTGCAGGTACGCGGTTCTTTTATTCACCATCGCCTTGCCTTTCAAATGTCGTCTGCTTTTGGATTTCTGGAAGTGGAATTCGTGAATCATTCAATGAGCCCGTTCGCCGGCTATTTTTGGGCTTGGATCTGTCTTGTTTGATGCTGATCATCTTGCATGGTACACGGATTGGTGGCCTTAGCGTATTGGAAGAGGTGTTTATGTTTTTGTTGGTTGGGTTGTTTAGTGAGTGTGGTTTCGTTTTCTCGTCGTTTGACAATTGTTATTTGCCACTCATGTTATGTTGCTTCTGGCTGGATCCGCTGCAGGAGATGTGTGTTTAATGAATTCACTTTCGTTGCTCGAAATTGCATGATCGATATGTTCTTGCGGCAATTTAATATGCTTAGGTTGTTTGATGAGGCTGTTGTTTGGTAAGATATTTAGTTGGCGCGGATCTAGTGAGAGAATTTATTTATATTTTTCTCCCCACTTAATAGATTATGATCCACAATCGGAGATTTGTTAATGTTGATGAGCGAAAAAAGTGCTAATTAATGCATCATTTGGAGCCGGCTTCCTCGTATAGTCTCTCGCATTCTTTCATCCGGTTTCTTTCTTTTGCAAAGCCCGTGCAGCTTTGGGTTCCTCCCAAAGTGTAGTGCGTGTCTATTGTATTTACAGATCAAGTTGATTGCTTACGGTAGATAAAATGGCTGGTATATCTGCAAAAGATTCAGGAGCTTATACACTTGGGTGATCAGCAATTGTTGTGTACAAAATGGGAGAAGTAATCTCAGTAAAGATGTAGCAAGTGGAATTAAGATAAGCAGCTCAATTTCTGAATGTATAGCCAATCTTAGCATAAAATGCAGCGAGACACCAAATGCCATTTGGGGCAGACTTAATTGATCTCAGCTTGAATTTAGAAGAAATCCCAAACTTGTTTTGGATATTTTACTTTAATATGCTGTTTTGTCCTTGATAATTTTATTACTTTAAGATTAACTAAAGTGATCCTGATCCTACTCTGCACTTTTGATGTTTATATTATGATCAGTTTCAAACTCTTGTTTCTTACTTGAGAACATAATATTCATGGGAAGAGACATGTTTTTTCCCAGTTTGTGACATCTTGTTCCCTGATTCTTTGAGATTGATTTGGGTTATCAATAGTGCACGTGGAGCCTGGCATTTTTTTTATTTACATGTTCTTTTCCAGGTGGTTCAATATCCTTATAACACTTGTGGAGGAATCTTAATTTTTTTTGCTGTCATTTTCAACTTTGTTAAAGTTGCTATTAAAACGTGGTTCAAGTGGAGTTTAATAGGAAGAGCACCAAAGCATTACTTGAATAATTTCTGTCCATTGCCAAAATTCTTTCTAAGTATCAAGTATTTTTTGCAGTCATTCTCAGTTGGTGTTCCTGTAATATCTATTTGGATAATTAAAATCTGGAACCAATATATTAGTCCAAGAATTTTTTCTGGCATGAGAAGTTGGGCATACCAATTACAATCAGTAGGAGCCTTCTGGTTAACTTGTACTTGTACCATTTCTTTCATTGTTGCTGACTTGATTTTGCAGTTTTTATCTGTGAATATTTCTTCTTGAAGATCCTTTTGTCTTGAACTATCGTTGCATAATTATAAAATTATACTCTTAAATCTCCTTTCCCTGTTCTTGAATACTTTTCATGTTCCTGTTTGCAAGAATTATCTTAAAATCTCAACCGGCAGTTTAGAACTGGAAGTGGAAAAAAGGTAGCTATGGCTGTGGGACTGGCAGGTGGGCATTCATATTTATCTTAGTGATATCCAAAGTCTTAATTTTCCCTTACCATGAATGCATATTTTTATATTATATTCTGCATGCTTTTTTTTTGTAATTCCAAGACTTGAAAATTGACTTAATTAAATATCTTTTTCCCATGAACCATTATCAATTACTATCAATTAAGGGTTAACACTATAACAGATAGTCTAAAGGGCACATGCGCTACTTGATACCCCTATCAATATACACATTGCATGGAACTCTCTTTTTATGCAGGATCTAATGAAGGGTTGATGTTTGTAGTTTTCCATCTAAATTTCCAAATAGATTATTTCTGTGACTTGAATCGTCAACCCCCATATGATATGGGGATGACATATAGTAGGTGATCAATTGAAACACCCATGATAAAGTTTTGACGATTTGATTTCCTTATGGAAATTACCAAGGGTAGTGATTCTCAACTCACATTATTATGATTGAAGAGGATGCCATTATGAGACTATATATGTGATTAGATTATCAATCAAATGCAAGGTCTCAAAATTTGGTCCATTGGAACAAAATTCAAATTATAGTAAGATAAGGATAAAGTTTTTATTGAAAATTAGCATAATTCTTCGTAAAATCATATTTTAAATTAAACTTTAGTTTGCTATTGTTATTTACAAATATGATATGTTTAGAATGATAGCTTATTTCACAATACATGCTTATAAATTAAAATAATTTTTTGCAATGAAATCAATTGATTATTAATAGTCTTCTAAGTAAATTTTCTTCTCTTTTTTGTCATTTCTTCTCAAGCGGTAAGAATTAGATCCTCTCTAAGATTATAGTAGAAGTCTTAAGGTTGAAGTTCTGTTGCTTCTCTATTGTTTGTTATCTTCAACTACCAAATGCTCTATTCCCCGTTGCTTTTTTTTGCATCGCTGATTGGTATCATCTGTCTTGTTCTATTGAAATCTTTATTGCTTTCTTTTGTTGTCTGCTTTAGATATAGTCTTTTATTGAGTTGCTTTTGGCAGGTCTTGTAGGCTATTTTGGATATTAGATTGAATAAGAGCAACATGGTTTAAGCTAAAAAGGTGGTGAATAGAACCATGATGCATTTATTACGAGATACAATGACAAGCATCCCAAAACTTAAGATTATAACTTCTCATATATTTGATTCACCTTCAATATAGTCGTTCAATCCATGACGAAAGCACCATTTGAATTATCTCTAGGCAATTGCTACACAGTCTCTTAGTCTTCACTTTCATTTCCTCCACTATAAATGAAGTTGAACAACAAAGTGCTCAGAGATTTCTGGAGAGCAACAAAAAAATTCATATTTTGGTAGAAAAGTAACTATAAAAAATTGAGCATAAATACAATGAATGACATGATCATAACTATATCAAGGCCATCATCCATGTAGGATATCTTATTTGGTTAAATTCGAGAAAGGACTGCCTTAAAGGAGAAAGAAATAAGTTGAAGTTGATCATGCATGGGCTTTTTAATATCTTTTGGATTTTTGGTGACGATGCTTGTTAGCTAGAATTGTTTACGTAATTAAAGATGTTTTTTTGGTGATAAACGTGAAAAACTTAAGCATTTTGATGGCAAATCATAAGATATCCTACTTGTTATAGATTTTTTATTGTTGGAACAGAAAATGTTTTTGGAACTGGACATCCTATTGGACTAGAAGACGACAGAGACATTCCATATTGTTAGGAACTTTTAATTATGAATCAAAGCTAAACGGTACACTAGAAAAGCTGGGAGAACAACTTTCACTCATTTGGAGCTTTAATTTAATAGGAATGAAATCTTCGTAATTGGGTACCTGTAATATCGAGATCAAATATCACCTATGATCATGACTGGGCCATTATATTATGAACACCGTGCTCATTAAAGTTTTAATAATATGGTTTTTCCTATAAATTGTTGATAGTGGTGATTTTCAAATCACACTGTTGAGATTGATTAGAGTGTTGTTAGGATTGTGTGAGCAAATTATTAATCATATGTCATACGACGGAGATCAATACCCCAAAGTCTAGATAGTTGGATCAAAATTCAAATTAAAAGGATAAGGATGAATTTTTAATTTAAGGTTAGATAATTATTTTTGAAATTATTATTTTAGTTGAATATATCTAATGTTACTTATGGATAAAGTTCATTTCGTATGGAATTTGTTTAGTAATAAAAACTTATTGTTGTATTTGCTTCTAATAGGTGTAATTTTCCAATAGAAAATTGGAACTTTGCTGACTAATGTTTTTCTTTTCTTATAGCATTACTAATTGAATTTGTTATACTCACTTATTTCTATTCACTCACTATGCTAAATTCATTTTTCTCACTGTAGCTGTTAGCTTTTTGATTTTATAGTTGTTGTTGGATATTGTGATTGCCTTCTTGCCGTTGTAATGCTCCGACTATTATTGTTATTGTGTTGGCACAATCATGTTTTGTTGATTATAGAACTAATCCAAATATTGTATGGGGAAGTATTCTCGGGTTCCAATGAGAAAACGGAAAGTGTTATTGAACTTAATTTGAGATTCAAAACCTGAGTAAAAAAATTATTTCTTGTGTGAAATTTTAGATTAAGAAGGTCGATTTGTGTATCACCATATCTCAACATAGGCAACCAAAACTACTAATCCAAACCCTCCCTTAGTCATAAAATCTAAGGATCTTTATGCGCTACAACTTTTAATTGGTAGGGGTGATAAGTCAAGATATTTGAGTTTAGCACAAATTGAACTTGATTTGAAATTGAAGTTATATTTTACGCAGTGCAGTCCAACTTGAAATAGAATGATTTCGAGCCAATGTTTGAGTTGACTTATGATCTAACAAAGTAATGTCTGAGTTCATTTACATGTGCTTTGTGTTAGCTTGAAGTGATCCAATACATAAAATTAATATGCTTATTTATGTGTGAATTGTGAAGTGATAACCTTAGTTAGTTATCAAATAAAATCTAAATTTTATTTTATAATTAAATTGCAAAATAAAAATAAAAAGATTGCTTTCAATTTCACAGAAAGGTAAAAAAATAATAATAATAATAAATAAAATAAAAGCAGAGGATAAACAAAACTTGTCGAAGTTTCATAAAAAAATTTCTTTGTCAATTCTTTAAACTAGGAGATGGTTTGCTTATGACTATGCTTGGGTTGCTCAAGAGACAACAATGACACCCTTCGGCAATTGTTGCCTTGGGCAAATTCTTCTAGCTGTGGAGTCTAAGATGATGAAGCCTCTCCTTGTGTTCATACATCTTATGAGCCGAAAATGGCACTTTTTGGTCGATATAGGATATATGTGATTAACATGGGTATTGATGGTGTGTAGGAAACATTTTTTTTTTTGGCACTTGGGCTCCATGTCATAATGAGGTAAAGAATGAGTAGGGGTTTGGCTTTGGAGAGGTCGTTCAAATAGCTAGTGAGGGAAAATATAGGAAATGAGGATATCTTTTTGGATTGATGCTATGCTGGGCGGTCTACAAGTGGAGGCAGGTAAGAATGAAAGAGACGCTATTGTATAGGGATGAGATGCCTATAAGTCTTGATCTCCAATCTTCCTGTTGCTGGCAATCACATTGTTGGTGTATGGAGATACAATGTTCAGGGTGACACATGAATAAACCCACTTCTTGTTTGTAGGAACCAAAACAAGTCATTCATTGTTGGATTAAGTGAATATTGAACAAATGGTTAAGCAAAATTGCAAAAGATCAAACAAATAAAAAGTACAAGCTAGTGAAGAAGACTTGAAAGCGAAACTTTTGCACTAATCACTCTTCAAGCAGCTTAACTGCTGAGCAATAATGATTAAGATTTGGAAATGTAAAAGTATATTGCTAAATATTATTCAAGTTGACTGGAGTCATATGTTGAGCTAAGTCACATCAGATTTGAAATTGATTTGAAAAAAGTACTTAAGAAACTGACTGGTAAATTGTCTAGACAGTTATCAAGTCAATCTTGAATTGATTCAATGTGTTTCAAGCTTTAAGCAAAATTGCCGGCCATATTAAATGAAAGTATCCATGTAAAATGAAATCAGTTCTAATTAAGCTGTGAAACTTGAAAATTTTTACCCTTTCTATTTTTAATTCAGATTGGTCTTGCTAGAAGCTTTTATTTATATATTTTGGGAACGCTTTGGACAATTCTGTTATGAATTTATGAGAACGAAAATAGAAGTATGTTATTTTTTGAAATGCATTATGCTCGTTGTTTGTGGCATTTGATTGGTCATTTTTGGTGAAAGTTTTCAAATCGATCATTTTCTTTTTTGCATTGAATTGCTCGTCCATTTGGCACTTAAATAGAATTAAATATTTATACTTGATTGAATGCTGCCCTTATTCTTATATCATTACAACATTGTGGAAGTTTGAGTTTTTTTTATGCTTTGCTTGCCTGACATTATGAAAGAAAAGTCTTAAGAAATTGTTATGCTCATTTATTATGCTTTGTTTTCAATTTTGAGAAAGATCATTTGGTTTTAGTTCTTTGATGTGCTGTTTGTTTTGCTGAAGTTTTGGTTAGCTTATAAGGTTATTTGACATCCTAATGCACTGTATGGTTAGTCACCAAAATATGATGCATGAGAGAATCCAACTTAGCTTATAAATTTGTTCTTGATAGAAGGTATTAGCTCTTCACCAAAATTTGTAGAAATTTGGAGTGACTGATATGCATATCCAAGAATTTCAAATGCTCTCTTGTTGTAATCACTAGAAAATAGAATTGCTACTTTCTATGGATAAACACTTGAATTTGTAAAAAAATCAACAAATGCTTTGACAAAGCAATCAATCTAGCTCTATCCATAGAATAACGGAGCAAATCTATGAAGTTGTAGAGTTCACTTAAAGATGTAGCCATGTCTTAAATTTTTATGATGTTCAGCAAGTAGGATTCTCAACTACTTTCATATGTTCTGGAATGAAAAGAAGGCTGCTTTGAAGCTATGTGTTCAGACATGCAGATGCGTTGTTTTTTATTACTGATCCAAATTTTCTTAGTCATACTTATATTATATGTGCGTTTGCTTTATTATTAATGAAATCCCAGGAAGTTACTTATTAAACATGGGAAGTAGGATTACTTCTATTCAAAGGTATTTATCGCATTATTCATTTGGTAAACTATTTTAAAATTCATTCAATTTTATTCTGGTCCCTGACAAATTTAGAATGACTGGAAAAGCATTATGCTATTGATTTTGATGATAGTTTAATCATTTATAATGGAAAATATCATATATGTGTTGCTGAAACATGTCAAATCTTTAGTCCAACAATAGTTTATCATATATTTAATATTATTCCCGATAAAAATTAAATCGTCATCAAAATTAAAAACATAATAATTTAATATCATTTTTTAAATATAAAGTATAATTAACATAGTTGATTTTTAGAATACTTTACCATTATTTTCTGGGGCTCTAGCATGGCTCTTCAGGCAAAGCCCTGCTCACCCAACAACCATATTTTTGTTTCCGTAATGATGGCGTTAAACATTCAAAGCAATTCATCCTTCTGTTACAATATCTTCTTTGCTATTTTTTATAATATATTTTGATTTTAAAGATCCTTTGCAACTTTATATATTTTGATTTTTTAGCTTCTCAATCCTGGTTCCACTAGGTTCCTTGTATTTATTTCCCCCTTATATGTGTGATTAGGTGGTTTATTAAAAATAGGTGTGCTTCTGATGCCTAATGAATTTTACTTTTTTTTCCTCCCAAGGATAGAAGCTATTTAAGGCAATGATTGATGTCACGCTATTTGCTGAAAAACTAATTTTTGAAAGTAATTTTACGAGGCAAACTTCTAGGCGACTAGTAAGTTCAGGCCAAGGTGCTAGTAAATGTGGTATGAATATGTTTTTTAATATTTTAATCTCCATTTGTTGCAATTCTTCTTGAAGTATATTTCCTATTTTAAAAATGATATGTCACTATTTTAATTCCAACTTTACAGTATAAAAGACTGTTAGAAAATTATTTTTGCTAGAAGTTCATCGTAGGATGCCTACCACAACCTGACATATTAAAGAGAAACAAGGAATTTGTTTTGATGCATGCTAATTTTTTAGTTTAACTGCCTTGTGTTACAAATGTGATTTGAAATATTGTTGCAGATACCTGAGTAGGCTGGTATCACAATGTGGAGTTCTACAAAAGTTCTTACAACTGTAATTTGAAATATTATTGCAGATACCTGAGAAAGCTAGTATCACAATGTCGGGCTCTACAAAAATTCTTGAGCCTGCATTTCAAGGAGCTGGTCAAAGAATGTATCCTTCATCTGATTGTTGTGTACATACAGAGCATTTTTTTACAATAAAAAAATTACTTGTCATGTTCTTTTCTTTTAGTGAATGCTCTTTATGCTCTTTTTTTCACTTAACACAACACAGAGGTACCGAGATTTGGCGTATTGAGAACTTTCAGCCGGTTCCTTTGCCTAAAACTAATTATGGTAAATTCTACTCGGGAGATTCATACATAATTTTGCAGGTAAAATGAGTAATTTCTGTTTCTTTTTTCTTTTCACCTTTTTAATAGTATTTTTGTAATCATTTTTCCTTTTTCCTATCACACCCGTTTCTGGTTCAAATTCTTCATTGTTATTAGTGTAGATTTTGAATCAGTTTGTCCTTATTTCAACTAGATTTGCAGTCAAATTTTAAGGATTCATTAGAATTCAAAATTGATAGCTCTATGCTGACCATAACCTAAACCATTTTGTTTGTCAACATTTACCTTTTTTTTTTTCCTTGTCGTATGCATTCTTGGCCATATACCTTGTCGTATGCATTCTTGGCCACCATATAGTTTGGAACTACCTTGCCTATAGACACACATTTACCCAAGGTCATGCACCAAGTTATATTGTTGTTGACGCCAATCCTATTATAGCAAATGACCTTATTATATTTATACCCTTGTGTGGGCTCCAAAAGTTTGTGCCTGGCCTCCTTCAAAAATAACGAGTGAGAGAGTTTTACATTGGATTTCGGGTCAAATTTACAAACGATAGATGAGATAATAAATAAGACACTACTCAGAAATTTCACTCTCATTGTGTGAGAATATTAAGATCTGGAGCTCGAGATTTCCTGTATGCACAAGCTTCTATAATAAATTTTCCCTCTTAATAAAGGGGAAAAACTTTCTATTAAGTGTAGTCATTAGCGAGCTTATTGTTTAATGTATAGTATAGTTATTTAATTATTAGATTATGAAATTTATCACTGTGAGCATACAAGAGGATTGTAGAGGGAATGATGATGAATCCAATCAAAATCCTGTGGTTCCATCGTCGCGTGTTATCATGGTCCCTGGTTTGCTTAGTTAGAGGAGGTAGTCTACCAAAATTTGCATGGTGATTATTGGTAGCCATAAGTTGTTTTGTCCAAGAAAATTTTTTAGACTTGGGATAGATATTTGTCTAAGGGTACAAATTTAAGTCGAACATAGCTTATAGAGGGTTTTGTGCTCTAACATGTTTGCTCTATAATTCACAACTCAAAGAGCATAAAGCCTTTAAAGAATACACGGGCTACATTCATGATCTTAGGCCCTGTTTGGCGCAACTTATATAGGTGCGGTGGAGTTTTGGCGTTGGCTGTTGGCGGGGATGAGGCTGCGTTCGACGTCGATTTCTGAAAACGCCACCGCAACGTCGATGATCTTCATTAATCGGATCGCGGGGATGAGGCTGCGTTCGGCTTTGGCTGTTGGCGTTAGGGCTCAAAATCTTTCTTTTGCCCTTGGTGATCTCTCTCGCGCTCTCCCCTCGCCTCCTCCCTATTCGATCCAAAGCATCACTCTCTGTTGGCGTTAGGGCTTGATTTCGTTCTTTTTCCCTTCGAGATACTCTCCGATAAGATCTACGATTGTTTGTGGTTGGTTTTTTTCGGTTCTTCTCCTTCCGTGCTCTGGATCTGTGAGTTTTTTGATCTGTGAATTTTTTTCGGTTCTTCCCCATATCTCTGCTTCTATTGCTTTGGATCTGTGAGTTTTTTCGGTTCTTCTGCTGGAGATCTTCATTCTGTTCAAATCGTTTTATGTATTTGGAAAAGGCTTTGGTATTGATATGGGCTGTGTTCTTCGAAAATGGGCATGTGGAAGGAGAAGAACCGTGATTTGTGTTGTTCGAAAATGGGCACTAAAAATAGTTTTGGATTTCCTTCAAAAGTCTTCTTACGTATTTGGGAACAAATGTGCAAATCGTTTTCAATTGTGTTGGTGTCCCTTCTCCAAATAACTATTTTTTTTGTTCTTCTGCTGGAGATCTTCATTCTGTTCAGATCGTTTTATGTATGTGGAAGGAGAAGAACCGTGATTTGAGGTTTTTCATTTGTGCCTCTGTGCAATTCGAAAATGGGCATGTAGAACTCTTATCTGGAACTCTCATCATGTCCTGATTTTGTTGGTTCAGTAGAGGACCACTGATTTGGGCTTTCTCGTTTGTAATGCATTACTGTGATGTTGTTTGTAATGCATTACTATTCCATGGCCTTGCAATTAATGTTTTTTATAGTTTGTAGTTTATTTATGGTGGACTGAATTTGCAGAGAAAAATCGTTGCAATTGTTTACGGTGGGCTGCATTTGTAGTTTATGCACTATATGTTTTTTTTTTCTATCAATAAGTTATTCTGAATAAGCTGCCCTAAACAGTTTTATCAGACAGGGGCAGAAATGTCATTTAACCACCAATAAGCTTGTTTGAATAAGCTGCCCCAAACAGCAAACCAAATTATTCTGATAATCTGCAGATTATCAGAATAATCTGCTGATAAGCAGATTATAAATAATCCACAGCTGCGCCAAACAGACCCTTAAAATAGTGAAGCTTATTGGCAGAATCACTCTTTTAGAGGGCTCTGATCGTAATTTTTACCTATGGAGCCAATTGGTCAAATCACATGGATAAAGGAATCGTGCTATATCCTTTATGTGTAAGTTAATTTGAGTGTGAGTATGATATTATATTTGATATGATATTTATTCTTTGTAAGATTTAGTTAATTATAAATTTGTCATTATTGACATACTTATGTGGAGGGCGAATGAATTTTGTTATAGGCATTAGTAATAAATTTCATTTAATTTTTTTTAGATTTTATAGTATGAACACTTGATTTTTTGAATAACCCATTTGATTGAGTTCATTTTCAACACGTTTATTATTAATGATTTTGATAGCTTTGAATTATATTGGCTGCCTTACAGAGAGTTCAGTTCATAATGTATATTATTCAAAATTATTTTAAATCACCAGAAACTTAATTTTGAAATTTTATATTTTTGGTTAAGATGTGCAATGACATGCCAATCATTGGGGAATTAATTGAAGGACATTTTAAGTATTTATAATTTTCATTTTCTTAAAATCATTACTTAAATATTATTAAAAGCATTAGTCTTGTTTACACTTATTCTTATGAGGAAGAGGATCAGTGACTTATTAGGGCTCGGTCTTGACAACTCTAGTCTTTATCAAGAGGAGGATTTGACTCGACTCCATGGAGGTTCGGTCTTCTCAACTCATATCCTTACCTTATAAGGAGGAGAATCGAACTAGCAAAGGTGGAACTTATAGCCTTGCTTTATTGACAAAACAGCCCCCTCGAGAGCGTTTATAATTTAAATGGCTTGCACCATTTTGTTCGTATTTTAGTTTATTAGATTCATTTTTATTTTGTTTGTTTTACATGGATTATAACATAATTTCGACATCCTCTCGGTATCATCCTCACAATGGGGGTTGTATCAGAGGTGCTATGCCTTCTCACTAGCCTATAAGGTGTGCATGGTGGGTGTTTGGTAACATGTTAGCTATTTGTCTTCTAACGTACTCGTCTGATAGTTGCACATAGGCTAAAGATACCTCCATAAGAGAACTACAAGATTTTTCCAGCCGCATTCAATTAACGTGCTTATGTAGTTAATTTCATAGTTTTTTGCTGCCACATTGGAATAATGTGCACGGATACTCAAATTAAGCAAGTTCTCCTGACGCATTGGAATGCGCGCAAGCATTAAGAATTTGTTTCATTTTTTTTACATTGTTTTTACTTTCTGGGTTATTATTATTCTTTTTTTTCCCCAAATTTAATTATATGATGGTTGTCGAAGTGGTCGGTGGTGAGTTCATCGACAAGGTTGCTGGATATGGCCGAAATGGAGGCCAAAGAAGGTTAAGGAGATGCTACGGGTTCAACGACACAGAAAGAAGCATTCACATAGCTGTGTGTGAATGCCCGACTAGAATAAAGAACAAGGCAAGCAGGCGAGAAGCTATTGCAGCTTAAGGCTTAGAGTTGTGTTTGGCAATTTTACACAAACAAGAAAATGGGTTTTAAGTAATGTGGGAAGGGAAGAATTGTGCTCATGGTAGCATGAACTGGGAGCTATAGCAGGTGTTTGTCATCTTATCCATGGTTTTGAAGCTCTATTTAAGGTGAGGAAGGGTGTACAAAGAGTGGCTAGGTAGTTTGGCTTGTGAAAGAATAGACTGAGAAGCGTGAATCTATGAGATCATGGGCGAAGCTATAGTGGGGGCACTAGGGACCCTTGATCCCATTGACTAGACCCGCTATCTTAAGTTATCATAATTTCGCCACATTCTATCTCAATTTCTTTATGTTGGGATTTATTAAACAGTAAATGAATAATTATTTCTTTGACATTGATAAATCAAAATATTATATTTAAACTCAAATAATTTCTATTTAACGAAACTTAACCACAATCATAAATATAACATTAAAGCCATCGTAATATTCTATCATTCACTGCAGTTATGTTTCTCCATTTAAAGAGCAAGAATATTCTGTTTATTTTTTATGCTGGACAAAAGGATGACTAAAGGGAAATCTTCCACAGGAACTTCACATAAAGAAGGCATTTACATACGTACCACTCAATTCCCATGTATTTAGTATCTAATATCTAAATTTCAATTTAAAAGCAATCCATCTAGCTCAACCTTTCTTGCATTTTTTATGTTATTTTATTTTATTACTATATTTATATTAAATAAAAATACTATATTCTTTTTGTGAAATTTGAGCTAATTTAATTAATTATAATATTATATAATTTATTTTAATTATAAATTAATTTTTTCTCTTATTTTATTTAAATTAATTATTATTATCATTTATAATATATATTGAGTTTTAATTTAATTTTGAGCCATCTATATGCGCTAGTTAAGAGTGGCTAGGCAGTTTGAGATTTACTCGAACATCTTTAAATGAAAAGTATTTTTCATTTTTTTTATTTTAATTATTTTTTAGTTGATAATATAAAATGTAATTTAATATAGTTAATGCTAATCATATTTTATTTAAATTAAAATTCATTATTAATTATAATTTATTATGGGTTTTTTAAGTCACGCATATTTAGTGGTTTACAGTATCAATAAAAAATTAATTTATATTTCTATACATTTTAAAATATACAACAACAACAAGCTGTAAAGTGGGGTTGGCTACGTGA